ACTTCTCTACTCAACTCAACTCTCACCCTTAGCTCTCTCTCTCTGTTTCTCTCTATTTCGTGTTTTATCTCAGCTATCAATGCACCCTCTATTTATAGCTGAGGAGGGAGACAATTGTTCAACAATGGTGGGCAAGTTAGGCACCCACCATTTGACTATATCCATGTCAACTATGGCTGCCACCAACCATGACTGCCACCGTCCATTTGTGTCCACACACATAACATGTTGCAGTCAGCTCATGGACCTTAATAAGATTGTAGGAAAAAGAAAAGATAGACAACGAATTTGTAATTGCATTGAAGTCATAGTTGCTGATGAAGGTGAGCTAAGTTCCTCTCGTATTGGTGCGCTTCCACACCAGTGTGGCGTGCAGCCTGCTTTCCCCATTGCTAACTACCAAGACTGTTACTTGTAACTCTCTCCCTCCCAAGTCTCAACACACATTCACTAGCGTAAAACAGACAACCGTATTGAATTCTACTTCCCTTTCTGCAGCATTGGCTCACAGATTTCTGGGCAACAACCGTAAGAATTCCTTGTACAGCAGCCTGATGTGCTGAACTCAGACGAGGAAGTTGATTTTAGCAAAGATGAAAGCCAGAGAAGCATATGACGATGAACGTTTTGCGCATAAGAATCGAATAAAGGAAATGAACACAGTAGTTCTTTTCTCCCAGTTAATAAGATGCTATAAAATTAAACAGTAGTATTCGTAACCAAAAGTCTTTCATGAAATCACCAAACGAAAGCAACTGAGGATTGCGAGTCGTGAGTTTTCCCATTGCAGTAGAAGAAGATAGATTTCTCCCTGCCCCCAACAGCCAAGATACAAAGCTTTTGACCAACTTGAACCTTGCAATCTCAGCTCTTTACAATTTGAGCCAGGGCCAGGGTAACAGAATGGGAACAGAAAATTCTCTAGTTTCTGTTCTCCAATAATGACACCGGACACATATCGACAAGTTTTAGAAAAAGCATGGATGAGTCAAATGACCTTTCTGACAAAAAAGAAGTAAATTGGGCTAAAATTTTACGAGCATATTATATACGAGGATCAACTGGCTTTCATTTTCATGTCCAAATTAAGCTAGAAATTGTTTTCAAAATTATTCTTTATTTTCGTAGTTATTCTAGGATTTCTTTTCGGGTTAGGTTTTAAATTTTTATTTGGTTTAGGCTCTTTACCCAGGTTTTAGCTTTCGTTTGAACAACTTTGTGTGTAATGTATTTATAAGAGCTTTGATATTATTCAGAATTCATAAAAACATACATTTTCTCTACAGTTCACAGCTGTAACTTAGGGCTTGAGACACCACGATTTTTTATCTTTTCGCTATACGCCGTGTTAGTTAAGAAAGGAACAACAGAAAAGTGGTGGAGCTCATTGGAGAGTCTATTGTCGATCCTCACCCCTCCCAATACCATTCCTTAGCATTGCTACAGAGACAACTTTCACTCTGACAGATTAAGTTAGCATAGTTTGATAGAAATGTAATATGAATAAAACAATAATACAGATATGGTTTACAGATTCCACTCTCCATGCAATTCAGCTATTAATTTCAGCATCTGAGGAAGAATTTCAAGTAGTAAGTGAACTTTATTTTCTCAATTGTACATGCAACAATGATTACAACATTCTATATAACAGAAGGGGAAAAGGTCTATGTATAGTATACACACATATTAGCTAGCATTTCCACCGTTAATGGAAATCTCAGATTCTGCTTTCCCAAAGATAGTTATCATCGGAACCTTACAACTATGCAAGATATGTCATCCTTACTTTTCCTGGAAAGTGCCTCTTCTACCAGGTTCTTTGCTGCTGAATGAGCATCCTTAATGTGCTTTATACAGTCTACTGCTTCTTGGTTAGACATCACCTGCTCGTAGGTTGAGAAGGCATTAGAATATGATAGCTCGTTCAGTAATTGTGCATGAAGATTTTTCATAATTTACAAGTCTATTCTCTCATCTTTCCTAGAAAGTTAAACAGAAAGAACATGCAGGCAATACATCAAAGAGCGACAGAAGCCAACCTTCCATATGCCATCACTTGCCAGAATGAGAAACTCTATATCATTGTGAATCATCTGCTCGGACATATCAGGTTCTGAACTGAGGTGTATCTTCAAGCTCTTGTTACCAAATGCCCTCGCTACAGCAAGCTGTCCATCGACTCGTGGGACATCCCCTGCAAGTAACATAGGCCGAGAAGCTTATTCCATGGCATGTTTCAATCACAAGGCTGGTTATTTGATGTTTATCAACCAGTTCAAGTCCAAGAAAAAGTCCAAACACGTCAAATAAGCTTTATGACAAAACAAAAGCAGAATTTTTTATCCAACTATTGGTTCATACTGAAATTTAGCCAGCGTGTTCTACAAACCTGGTTTTATTGTGTCATTATTGAAACCAGGCTGGTAAATTAATATAATGCTCACATAGCATAATCTATCGTCACCAAAGATGGATAAATGCTCAAATTACTTCTTAACAAAGATTCCCCAAATAATAACCTCAGCTGCTGGAAAACTAACCAAGAATAATTTCAACTAAGCTAACCTAGTTTTTCGTTTTTCTCATAGATTCAAATTGTTTTGATGTGAAACAGAAACCAGTAGTGTATGCATGGCTACCTACCAGGAATATTTGACACAAAACCACCTCGACTCTCGATCATTCCCTTTTCCCTGCTTGGCTCATGATCAACAGACAGCTGTTCGGCCACACCATTCTTGCACATAACTGCTCGAGAATCTCCCACATTTGCTACTACTAGCTTCTGGCCATTGATCAGCATCGCTGTAACAGCAGTTGATCCTCCCTTTCCTAAGGCAATCGCATTCTCCAATATCTCAGCATCCGTTGCACGGTAAGCTCTCCTTATTGCACTCTCCGTATCAGTCCAGAAGTCATGCTGCTTGAGGGAGAAAAAAAAAAAAACAATGACAATAAAAATCTGCTTCCAGTAGCTAGCTGCAGCTGCATATATATCAATGATGCATGGCCTGATTCGGCAACATTTAGATCAATAAAAAACAATGTTATTTTGATTTTTTTAAAATCAAACCAGGTTTTGGTCGAATCAACTATCACATAGTTTATTTTGAAACCTAACCTAGCCAAGTCTCGGATAAGCAGGTCACACCGAGTTGACCAGCCGTGACAGGCCGGGTTTAATATATATTGACACACCAAATGCGAGAAAAATGAAATCATACGGCGTATATAATTACCTCTTTCAAGATATTATCGAACAAATGCGTTTGTAAGTAGCTTGCAACATCATGTCCCAAATGACCATCAAATATAGCAAATAAGCCCAACTCTTTTTCATGCACTTGCTTGAAACCAGAGACTACATAATCTTCCATGGCATGATTTGATTTTCCCTCCACCGTATGATAACCATGTGTAATATGCTTTGACATCTTGCTCTTGCCTTTCCCTGTGTCACCAGATGCAGATGAACTCAATCCAGCCTTCACCTATAGGACCGACCAATAACCAATGGAACTATATTATATAGTGAATAGATAGGATCACCAAGAATCAACCAAACTACGATTTCAGGGAGTTTCATAATTAGATGCTCCATAGACATTTGCCAACAATTATTTTCGTTCTCATCGGTTTGAGTTATCAATTCAATTTGGACGACAACCTATGAAAATTCTTTGTTACCATAGTATAGGTACTCATGAACCACCCTTACTGCGTGTATCTGTTAATGCGGCCAACTGCGCAGTTGATCGTGTTAACAAACAAAGCCTAAGTTCGTGTTTAGTAACGCAGTGCAAATGCTATTGCAAAGATGATTTTGAGCTAAAAGTTCAATATTTGATGCATGTTTAGTTGTTTTTTCAGTAATTTTGACATTTTCATATCAAAATCATCCAAAAATTACTACTCCAAGACTCATCAAAACCTCCAACAAACACATCCAAGACTCATCAAGGTTGTCATCCCAATATGATTCAAATCCCATATGTTAATATATATTGAAGCAAATTATGAAAAGCCTATAATTTTCATCATTCAAAATTCTCATTTTCCGCAATGAATCATACTATACATCCAATAAATATTCCAAGTAAGAAACTTTAAGACTTGTTCAACAACACCCTTTTCTTCAAAATGAAAGGGAAAAAAAACTATATACCCAGTTTCCAAAACAGCTCAAAATTTCGAATACTAACATGAACTGCATATACATTAACAACACAAAGATCATCTCTTTACCTAGTACAAATAACACCAAAAGGTACGAAGTACAGATCAAAGAAAAGAAAGAAAAGGCCTCCACTAACCTTCATCTTGTGTAGAATCTCCCTGCCCGTACTAGTCATGGTGTTGTGCTCTTTAGAGAGAGAGATGACTTTCTTCCTGTTAAGTTTTTTAGAGGATCGAAGAGACAATGTGGTTGGCATATATTTATATATATAGGTGAGGTTTGACCAATAAGCACACGTGACATGCGTGTTACTTTTATGTATCTCTTTTGGCGCGTTTCTTCTTCTTCTTCTAAAAAAGTACGCGCTCCTTGCCGACGACCTTTCTTGCATGCATTATTATTATTATTATTATTATTATTATTATTATTATTATTATTATTTCTCTCTATTTAAATATTTGCAATTTTTTGAGTTTTTTTTATCATTTTTTAATAATTTTAATGTATTGATATAAAAAAAATCTATAAAAAATTATTTTAGTATATTATCAAACAAAAAATATTTTTATTTTATACAACAATACCAAATACATATACATAGTAAATAATTAAAAAAAAATACATGAGATATTGAATTAGCAAAGCCGATCATTAAGTATTAAATTAACCAATAAATCATCATGAGCTATTGATTTTTTTTTTCACCCCAGTAATTTATGTGCATGTATTTTTTAATAATATTATCTTCAATGCTTTAATTATTATTGGGATTTTAATATAATGATATTAAAAATAAAAAAATTATAAAAAAAATTATTTTAATATATTATCAAATAAAAATTATTTTTGTTCAATATAATAATAACAAACACATAATAAATATTAAAAAAGAAACACGTGAGCCATTGAATTAGTAAAGCCCATCATTAGGTATCAAATTAAAGTCTTGATCCAATAAATCATGAGTTATCACATGAGCTATTGATTTTTTTTTTCACTCCAAATAATTATAATTTATGTGCATGCATTTTTCATAATATTATCTTTAATGCTTTAATTATTGTTGGGTTTGCATATAAATGACAAATATATATATATATATATATAACGAAGTGGCATGACTTCTTTAAACTTTAATCTTTTGTTAATTACATCCTTTAATTTAAAATTTATGGAAAATCATATAGAACCAAAATATGGTTCCATCTCCGTCTATAATTAATATTATATTATTTTAAGTTTTTGAGATAAAGATAATGCCCATCAACTCTTACTAGTGCACTTCTACGCGCAATTTTGAGCGACTTTTCAATACAAATCTGCCCAACAATTAATATTTTAATTGCCTCTGTTTATTTCCTCATATTTATTAACAAAAAATATTAAGCTTCTAATCATTAAAAATAAAAATAATATGTGTGTAAAGAAGTGGGAAATAATAATATTTAATATTATAATAACAATTATTTTTAAAATATTTTTTAGCAGAATAACTATGATTCTAAGATGTCTGCTTCATCATAGAGTATAGCTTGTCGTCTACGTTTGATTCTTTCCCCGTAGCATCAAATTGGGTAAGAAAAGAAAAGAAAAGAAACATTTAATTAAGTCCATATGTTTAATTTTTAATCCATAAAGTCAATGTGGCCAATTTGACAAGTTGAGTTCTCCATCTTTAATTAAATTTTAGATAAGGTTTGATTGGCTCCCATATATAGTGGAAATAATTATTTGTATATTATTAGTAGTGTTTATTTATTGTTTGTTTATTTTTAAAGTATAACATTTTACTCCAAAATTAAATCTAGAAATTGATTTATTTTATTATGTTTTTGTCGCTGTTTTTTAATTAAATATGTTTTTATCGTTGTTATTTTTATTTTATTTCAAGACTTAACAAGATTTATATTTGAGTTATTTATGAAACTTAATTAATACAACAATTGATATGAAATCTTAGTATGCATAGTTTATATTTTCAAACCATTTCCCATTAAACATGGTGTGCTCTATTTTTTTTTCCCATCAAAATTGAAAATATTAGATGCTTACCAAGGCATGCGGATAAAACGCGGGAAAAATAAAAATAAAAATGAAGCTAGGTCATAGCTTGAGTCATCATTGGCGTGTTATGATATCCACTTGTGATGCAAAATTGACTTGTTTTTACTGTTTTTGAAAAAGAATAATTTTTTTTGTTTGAATTGTTAGATTTTTTTAATATAATGATATCAAAAATAAATTTTAAAAAATAAGAAATAATAATAAATTTTTAAATAAAAAAACCGCAAATAAACTTTTAAACACCATATCTCGTAAACCAGTTGAAGAACACCCTAGTTCTAGAAACTGTCTTCCAGCAAAGTTCCTGACAGGAATTTTCATGCCAGTCCTGTTGCTTTTCATTCGCTTTATTCTACGGCGCGGAAATTAAGGTTCAGAGGAACTTGCTTTCGCACTCAAGTTCTGTGATTCAAAAGTCAAAACAACATAATATCGCTCAGCATCAGTACTTAAACATTGAGTGTTGATCCAGGAATAGGATTGTTTTAGATTAGTTAAGTTCATGTTGATCCAGAAACAGGACGGTTTTAGATTAATTAAGTTCATGAACTCTGCCTCTCACGAATATTAAGCTGTGATTACCAAACTTAAGCAGCTAATGACAGTGGATGCATGCATGGTAGCCAGACGCAGATTGTCGGCAGTGTGGTGAATGGCTAAAGTCATAATTAATGAATTTTCCATCTACAAGAAAACAGAATCATACATGTAGTTCTTGTAATCAAAATTCTGCTGCTATGAAAATTTATTGAGATATACCAAACTGATATCTTTAGACTGCGTTGTCTAACACACACCATTTAAGACTGGCTTTATAGTTTATACTTCTCAATCAAGAAGGCATGCTGCCCTGTCATCCTCGGATCTTCAAACTCTTATTCAATCCTGCATCGATCCAAGAACAATTGGTCAGTAAAAAGTTTTGGAGTGAGGGAAGCTGAATGAAAATGATAAGAGGCTATACGTATTGCAGTCCTTCCACTCGGAAATGGGGAAACTAAGATGTGTTTGGCACTTGGTAGGAAGTTCACTAATCCGATCAGCCCTTATTCGAGGCTCTGTGCCCCTCACCATGTATTCAATGCACCAACAGATCAACTGTGCTCCGAGTCCACGCTTTGCTAATCTGTTGAGTTTATAGATATGATCACAACATCTTTTTGATGGTTTATTGTAATAGCCTGTGAGAAAATCCAGGCAGTATGGGAAGTACTCGAACACAGGCTCGCATTTACTCTCCGAATAAGCAATATCTAGCCCAGAAGCCAGGAGGACTAGTAAGCAGCACCCAGCGATACGCAGCATTGCTGGTTCAAGCAGGAGTTAACTGCTATTGTTGGAAGCTGGAAATGCCAAAGATATCGTCGTGGCCATTTATACCACTGAATCCAATAGGAGTTTTACTTGGCTTCATTGCCATGCAAGTATCATGAGCTGCTGCTCTTGATGGTTAGAATTCTCTCATGTAAAGAATCTGCTGCTTGCACGCAAGAACCTGCTGGCTTATATACTTGCGGGAGCAACTCATTGTGACTGAAACAAACTAAGAAGCAAGGAAAATGTTTAGTCTGGAAACCAGGAAATAAGGATCATCCATGGCCGCCGCGATTTCCTCAATGCTCTACTAACAAAACCTTTGAGCAGCATGATTCTGTTTCGCGATATCATTGAATTCTAGGAATCACATTCAAAATCCAGATTTTGGTTCTTGTGATACTTTCCCTGGATAAATCCCAAGCATGGCATGAATAATGTTACCACATATTGACACCATCAGCAGAAAAGTTGACTCACCCGAGTCATTCAAAACTAAAAATTCTGACCAATAAGATGAGGATCTAACATAGCTAAACAAGGATATATCTTAAATATTTTTTTGTCAAGTCAATATTTTTTTGGACTATTGTACGACAATATTAGATTAAAAAAGAGATTTAGTCGTATCAGACCAATATAATATTTTAAAAAAACCATAATTTTTATCTGATAAGATATTCCCGAAGCCCATTTCCTTAAATTAAGCTTTTAATATCCTTGTTTTTACAAGTTTTCCTTAAATTTTTTGGATCTACTGTGTTATTTCATATTTTATGTTATTTTCCTGTATGTTTTAGGATTAAATATTATTACCTAATCTAGGATGATTTTCTAGCCTATTTAAAAACATTATAAACTTCATTGAGAGCAGACATTATTAATTTTATTTTTAGAATAATAAATTATAAATTTAGGGTTGAATCATTTTCGTTCATCAAATTTATTTTTTGTGCGATTTTTTTTTTTGTCATTATGCTTGCATATGAAGTCCCAAACTGCTTGTGGTTGCATTACTTTTGGGAATTGAAAAGCTCTATATAAGAGTTTAGATGAAAAGAAAAACAAAATGATGGATGGATGGATAGCCATGGATTCTTGCCTTCATGTGTTTGAACTTTGAATCACTCATGAATTTATCATCAAGAGTAAATAAGTTAGTAATTTGGGTTATTGGCCTGTCCTTGACAAATTAATATTATTATAAAAAACGTTTAATTTATCAAATTAATCTTTATACAATTATTTAAAATTAAAAATAAATTTAATCACTCTTCATGAAAAAAAAAAATTGTGCTTGTAGTTTTGAAATCTAATTTGTGGGTTGACCTAGAACAAATATCATGAATCAAGTATAAATTTAATCACTCTTCATGAAAAAAAAATTGTGCTTGTAATTTTGAAATCTAATTTGTGGGTTGACCGAATCATATCATGAATAAAGTTATTTGAGTTAATTTATTTTTTTATTTTTATAAAAAAATGATATTATTATAAAAAAATAAAAAATAATCTAACAATTCCAGCTAATTAATTTATGAAATAATTTAAATTTTTAAATAAATTACATCGGGTTAAAGTTTTTTATTAAAACTTGTTTAAATTATTCAGATCAACTTATCATGTTGGATTAAATTTTAAAATAATTTTATATTTAGAATATAAACATGTTTTTGTATAAATCAAGTAATTTTATATAAAGTTAAATTAATATAATACACACACTTTATTACAAACGATTCAATGGAAATAAATAACGGGGTCATAAACTATGAAAATTGGATAAATAAATAAATAAATAAATGACAAAGTCATAAAAACGGCACCGTTACAAAGAAATATAGCCGTTAGAAAAACAACAAAGCGAAGAGCCATCTCTGCCATCTCCTGATTAGTCAAGTGACCAAATTTCAAACAATCCGACCGTTAAACCTCCATTCCCTTCATCACCTCTCATCGTTTATACTCCTCTCTCTCTTCCATTGATCTCCACTCTCTCTTCATTAAGAAAAAAAAGAAAGCCTTAATTTCCCAATCTCTCTCTCCTCTCTGGAAAAAAACATAACTGAAGAGACTTTTTTGCGGTTAGAAAAATGGCAGCGGAGAGTGAGGATTCTTCAACTGCAACGACAATGACGAATACGACGACGTTGATGATGTTTGTAGATGAGGCGTACGAGTTTTCGGCTCCGAAGTTTTATGATTTTGTTAAAGGAGAATCGGATGAAGATTCTAGAAACGCTGAGCTTTGGTTCGATGTTACGGCGTCCTACGCTCCTTCTCGTATGCCTCTATCTCTCTGTCTCGACTGACTGGTTCATGGTTCTTTTAGTTTATTCTCTGTTAGTTTTGATTCACAATCGAGACGCAGACAAGAGGATTAGTTTTGATTCACAATCGAGACGCAGACTAGAGGATTATTTTTTATTTTTTAGGTTTTTATTGAAGATTATTTCTATTTTAGACGTGATTTTAATCTTGATAGGGTTAAATTAGGGTTTTGATGGTTCTGAATAGGAATTTCAGGAGTGGAATTATGCAACAATTAAGGTAAGGTAGAGTGGTTGTTTGTGATTTTTAGGGCCATGTTGTGTATCAATTGGTTCTGATTTGGGATTTTGAGGGAGTTTAGAGAGGGGAGAGAAGCTTGATCATGATTTTGAGGGTTTTTGAAGGGGGGAATGGAGAATTAGGAGGAGTTGAGAGGAATTTGTGTTTGATTTTGATTAATTAAGTTATTAATAAGAGATAACTATAATTTGAGGGAGCTAATTAATTAATAATGCAAATTAGGGGACTGAATTGAATCTTTGTAGGTATTTGCTGCTACTGTTGTTGCTTGTTCTTGTTTCTTTTGTGTGTTGGAGATTAAAGAGTTTAGTGGATGATTGATTCTTTTGTGTTTTTGTTTGATATGCTGCAGCTTTTATGCCTAGAATTAAGACTGGTAGATCATTTAAGGTAGAGACCTTATGTGATTTTAGCCAAGCAGACCAGTTTCACAAGGTAAAATAACGACTACTCTTTTCATTAAAACCATTACTACTTCCTGTATCTATATTTATTTTTGTGAATTTTTCCCATTGACATTGAATTGTAGGTGGCAGAATCATCTGATTCAAAAGCTTCAGACAGTAGCTCTCAATCAGAGGTCATGCCACCACCGGCAGAAGCAGCAGCACCTATTGAAACGGGGAAAGAAGACAAAGCTTCTGATGAGGATAACAAAGAAAACAATGTTAACCTTGTCAATGTAGTGAGTAGTTGATGCATTTTTCTCACCTGTTGATATACTGTCTTTTGGGAATTTGATGTTTTCTCATGAAGTTGTGCGTATTTCAGATTTCTGCTGGTGAGGTTACTTGTGAAAAAGAGAAGAGGGAGGTGGGGTTTGCATGTGCTGAAGGGAATGGAAGGTGTGTTATTTTGTTAGTCTTCTCTTTGTCAATTTTTCAAGACTAAAATGGCCAGAGAAAAATAAAACGATGACTGCACTTGTAAAGAAGATAATTTATGCTGTTATTCTGAAAGCTTAATGTGATTTTGTGTGAATGTATGCGTTCCTTTCTGCTGACTTCACTTTTTCTATCAGAAAAACTTCTTCTCTGCAAACTGAGAACACTGATGGTAAAGAGAGCAGTAAAAATGAAGCTTACTGCACCCCTAAGCCACCAATATCTTCTCGAAACAGAGGCACGTTGACTGATTCCAAGAAGAATCAGTCAGCTAGACACATAGCTAGCTTGGTTAAGAATCCATCTTTGCTGAAGCCAAAGAATCAATCACAGTCTTCACAAGTTAAGGGAATCAAACCAGCAAGTGTCAAAAAGTACACTGACTCCGTTGTTAATTTCTGTGTTGAAATATACGCGTTTGGTAATTACCATATTAACGAGGCCTTCTGTCATGCTTTTATTGTAGACCACCTAATGTGAAAAATGTTGCTGGGACTACCAATTTAGCCCAAGAGAACCAGGCGATTAAGAAACAGAAGCTGGAGGGAGGGAGATCCAGACAGGTGATTGATTACTATTGCCATGTTCCTCTCTTTTAACCATAGTAGTCTGGTGATGCATTTTACTTGAACATTTTCCTTTTTTAAAAATAAAAATCCAGATTCTTAATGCCAAGCCCCCACAACCATTGACACACAAGTCCAAACTGGGACTTAGCAGTGGCAGTTCTAACTTGTGTTCATCTGTTGCTAATAAAATGAAGAAAGAGGAGAGAAAGGTATGTTACTTTTGTCAAACTTCTTAATCCATTCTATTCTTTTGAAACTGCAAGGTACTAACTCGGTGAACGTACTTGTGTTGTATTTATTTAAAGGTTTATGTTCGGGAACAAGCAGCACCAGGTCCATTTGTTTCAACGGCAGAAATGATGAATAAGTTTCAATCAAATACTAGAGGATTGTCATTGTCACACCTTAACAATTCTATCTCACATGTAATAACAAAAGCCCATTTTACTCATGCTTTGTGAAATTTGGCTGCTCCAAATGTGTATATTTCCTTCCTTCGCTATTGTTTATCCTATTCAAATTTCCCTCATCTTTACTATTCAGGATGGTCCTGCATCTGTTATCCAGAGGAAGCCTAAGCTCACATTGACAAGGCCTAAGGAGCCTGAATTTGAAACAGCTCAGCGCATTCGCTCAGTCAAAATAAAAAGTTCTGCTGAGATTGAAGAAGAGATGATGGCCAAAATTCCCAAGTTCAAAGCTAGACCACTGAACAAGAAGGTTTTCCTGCTTGGAAACTATTTATGACTTCTTCCGTCCTACTAGGTCCAGCACAACTTGCTTCTTTTGCAATATTCTTGTTTTTTAACATTTTTTGTTGGATTTAGATTCTGGAAGCTGCAACATTACCTGCATTACCAAGAAGCACTCCACAGCCACCTGAGTTCCTGGTAAGCCATAAGAAATAACGGTCAATAAATAATTTACTCAAGATGGCATTAATCGCAGGCTTAATATTTCTTAATTTCTATAGGAGTTTCACTTAGAGACAGCA